CTGCACCGGGGGGGCCAGGCCGTGACCCTGCGCACCCACTCGCCCTTCGGCCTCCGCGACTCCCTCACGGTGCCGCTGCGGGACGTGTCGTGCCGGGCCCACCGCAGCCAGGTCCCTGCGGCGCTGCCCGTCAAGGTCCGCGGCGTCACCTTCTACTTCCTGCTGGACCGGGCCGGGCAGTTCCTGAACCCGCAGCTCTTCGACGTCACGGTGGGCGCCTACAGGAAGCTGTGACCCGCCCTCGCCCTGCCGTGGGCATGGGGGGGGGGACGCAGGGACACCCCGTCGCCCCCCGGACTCGGATGGAGACGGAGAGCTGGTCGCAGACGCCCCCCGAACTCCCTTCAACGGACGCGCGGATGGGGGCAGCCGGATGGACGCAGACCCCGCACAGACACGTGGATGGAGACAGGCAGCCGGACACAGGCCCCTGCCCTGACCGCTCTCGCACATGGACGGAGGCAGGCGCGTGGTTGGAGTCGCGCCTCTGCCCCCTGCCTCTGGGAAGCAGGTTTGGGGGGGCTGAGGTTTGGCGGACTCCCTGCAGCCCCCCCACCCCTGCTGCACACGGGCACAGACGTCCCAGCGCTCTCCTGGAGGCAGCGGTGGGGGGAAGCTATGAGCAGGGCGACGGGGGCCTTTGTGTGGTGTGAAATAAAGGTGTGAAGGGCGAGCAAGTGCAGCTCTGTGCTGTCGGGTGCGGTGGTGCCTCTGGGCTGGGCCCTGCTGGGTCTTGGCGCCGGCCGGGGGCAAATCCTAAAGGCAGTGCCAGGATCCCCGGAGACGTCGCAGGGCCACGAGGAGAGGGTGTCCAGCGGATGCGATCGGGGCGCCATAAGTGTTGCTACCAGGAAGAGCAGGGAAAGCCCTTCTCTCCTGCCTGGCACAGAACACCGGCCCTGGCAGCACTGGGGGCGGTGGGAGAGATGCCAGGGCCGGTGGGCAGAGGCTGGCTGGGCGCGGTGCCAGGCTGCTGCTGAGACTCAACCCATGGCTGGAGGGTCTTGGCCCTGCTCAGGGTCACCCTGATGCTGCCTGGGGGCAGGAAGGGATTTGGATGGGCATGGGCAGGGGGCGGGGGCGGCCACCTGGGTTCTCCAGCACTAGGTAGAGAGTGGGGGCTGCGGGATAAGAATGGTGTAAGGGTGGGGGAGGCTGGGGCTCATTCCTATTGCTGTGGAGGTCACCTTAGCCATGATGTCAAAGGGGGATGGGTTTTGCACTGGTGATGTCATGGCTGTGCTCTTTGGAGGTGATGTCAGGTGGGAGTCTGTGCTGGTGATGTCATGGGTGGGGCAGGGGGTGTAGGACTTCCATGGCCATCGTGTCACAGGCCAAGGATTCCCTGGCAGTGATGTCACACATGGGGCTCTGTAGTGATGTTAGAGGCTACAGGTTCTGTGGTAGCGATGTCACAGCCTGGGGCTGTGACGTCACTGATGGGGCTCTGTAGTGGTGATGTTACGGTCGTGGATTCTGTGGCCGTGATGTCACAGAGTGCAAGCTCCGTAGTGGTGATGTAACAGGGAAGGTGTTCTGCAAGGATGATGTCACAGGCTGGGGGTTCTGCAGCCGAGCCAAGCGTGGTGATGGCAACGCCGGGCAGAGCTGAGGGGCTGGGGGGGCTG